ATTTGGCTTGTCTTGGTGTTTGTCTGTTTGTCTGTTTGTTTGTTTGTTTGTATGTTTGTATCCAATAAACGTCAAAACGGCTGAACCGATCGGGCCCAAATTTTTTGTGGGACATCACGTGACCACAGGGAAGGTTTATGAATAATCAAAATTTCAAATATTTGTCTCCATCAAAATTCGATCTTCATTAAATTTTTGAAAATTTTGAAAATCCACGAAANATATAATTATCTATGAAGGGGGGGGGAGAAGAAGCGGGGTTTGACATGTGGGCACTACGTGGAGGAAATAGATCTTGAGTACGCAAACATCTAGAGAAAAGGCTACGGCAATTTGAGTCGGAAAAATCGTCTTTCTTATATTTCGAATTAATTTTAACAAGTATATATACTCTTCTTTGTAAATATTCCTCATTATAATTAGTATATATACTCATCATTGTAAATATTCTCAATATAAGTAGTATATATACTCATTATTGTAAATATCCTTAATATAAGTAGTATATATACTCTTCATTGTAAATATTCCTCATTATAATTAGTATATATACTCATCATTGTAAATATTCTCAATATAAGTAGTATATATACTCATCATTGTAAATATCCTCAATATAAGTAGTATATATATACTCATCATTGTAAATATCCTCAATAAAAGTAGTAGATATACTCATCATTCTAAATATCCTCAATATAAGTAGTATAAATACTCATTATTGTAAGTATCCACAATATAAGTAGTATATATATACTCATCATTGTAAATATCTTCAATATAAGTAGTATATATATACTCATCATTGTAAACATCCTCAATATAAGTAGTATATATACTCATTATTGTAAATATCCTCAATATAAATAGTATATATACTCATCGTTGTAAATATCTTCAATATAAGAAGTATATATATACTCATCATTGTAAATATCCTCAATATAAGTAGTATATATACTCATCATTGTAAATATCCTCAATATAAGTAGTATATATACTCATCATTGTAAATATCCTCAATATAAGTAGTATATATATACTCATCATTGTAATGTCCTCAATATAAGTAGTATATATACTCATCATTGTAAATATCCTCAATATAAGTAGTATATATACTCATCATTGTAAATATCCTCAATATATGTAGTATATATACTCATCACTGTAAATATCATCAATATAAGTAGTATATATAATCATCATTGTAAATATCCTCAATATAAGTAGGATATATACTCATCATTGTAAATATCCTCAATATAAGTAGTATATTTATACTCATCATTGTAAATATCTTCAATATAAGTAGTATATATATACTCATCATTGTAAATATCCTCAATATAAGTAGTAAATATCCTCAATATAAGTAGTATTTATATCATCATTGTAAATATCCTCAATATAAGTAGTATATAGATACTCATCATTGTAAATATCTTCAATATAAGTGGTATATATATACTCATCATTGTAAATATCCTCAATATAAGTAGAATATATACTCATCATTGTTAATATCCTCAATATAAGTAGTATATATACTCATCAGTAAATATCTTCAATATAAGTGGTATATATATACTCATCATTGTAAATATCCTCAATATAAGTAGAATATATACTCATCATTGTTAATATCCTCAATATAAGTAGTATATATACTCATCATTGTAAATATCCTCAATATAAGTAGTATATATACTCACCATTGTAAATATCCTCAATATAAGTAGTATATATATACTCATCATTGTTAATGTCCTCAATATAAGTAGTTTATATACTAATCATTGTAAATATCCTCAATATAAGTAGTATATATACTCATCATTGTAAATATCCTTATTAGTCCTTCAGTAACAGCATGACACCTTGATAATTGTTATGTGATATATCAAAATATACTTTTACAATCGTTATGTGATATATCGAAATATATTTTCAAAACTGAGTTTCCCAAACAGTCTAAACGTCTAAACTTTCTACCAGTAAGGAAATAGTATAAATAATTCTTGTTTATTTCAAGGTTCCTATATATTTTTATGATTATTTATAAAGAACAAGGTTTTTAAGTTACCTTTGTAAATCTTTGAAAAAAGCACATGAGCTGAATGAGAAGGATCTGATGGAGGATATTAACAAATGCATGCAGAGCTGAAAACTTTAGAATGGATAAACTTTAATCCTGACTTCTTGATCCGAATATCCACTGCGGAAACTTTTCATTTTATAGTCCTTAATCCACTCTTTTTCTCTCTCCTTGGATAACAGTTAATTGTTTTCTCCAATGAGAATATTTCTGTTCTCTCATTGGTTGCCCGCGCTTTTCTCTGATTGGCTGCTACAGTTTCTCAGATGATTAAATATTAATTTGAATTTTATCGTTTTTCATACACTTTTAAGATAATCTTGCAAGATTAGGTAAATCTGGAGATTAAAAAAAGAGTGGATTAAGCCTTAATCCTGATATCCACCATTCAAAAGTTCTTAGCTCAGATTATTGAAAACCTTTTAGTGGGCAGTGGCGGCAGTTTTCCGCTACAAAACCCATAGATAAAGATAGATTGCGCATAAGACGACATTTTTCATCTTGAAAGATATAAATGTACAGAGATGTTTTGAGAGGTAGGGAAGCACANGTAGAGAGAAATTTAAGTTAGTTTAGTCCTTCTCATGTCCTTCTTCAGTTCTCGTCAATATGATAAATTGCTCAGTGAAATATTGTTGTTCAAATAGTTCCATTCCCGGAGTTATTTTACACTCTATTATGAAATCCATTAAAACACCAAACCACCCCGCTTATCATTGAAGTACACTTTGACCTCCAGAAGTATGAGTTCGCGGACTGTACAATTCTTGGTGATTTTGCGTGCATAAGCTATCTATGTTTATTTATTTATCTATGAAAAAACCACTCTGGGTTTATGTACCAAGTGGCTGCCCGTGCGAGCATAAACCATTGCACTATGCTTTGCTAACGTGCTGGTCACCCCAATTTTTTTGCGAATGCCGGTGCGATAGGTAGTTTTTCGGAGCTATCGGGTGCCTCATAATAGATAAATAGATAGATATGTAAATAGTGACTAAGACGCAGTCCTATAGGTGGACAGAATCGGATCGAACAATACCTCCCCTGATCAACACTACTAGGGTCGGCAGCTCCCGGCTCTTCATGGCTCATCAAAATCCAAAACCCAAAATCATAACGAATTACTTCTAAACACTCTCTATTACTTTCCTAAAATGATCATCCTTGGTTTTACGTGTCTTATACTTCATATGGATAATATAATCTGAGAAAAACCAATATACAAAATATTAAAATATAAAAAAAAACTAATAAATAAAACAATATTGTAGAAATTTAACTATAAATGAGCCAGTGGTTTGCCATGAAACACCTGGAAACTCAATATTTATCAAAGTTTTGATTGCTTCCAGATGGGTAAAAAATGCGTCATGACTGGATGAAACAGATTCCCCTAACAAATTGGATAGTTTGTTTGTTTTCAAAAGTCTAAAAAAGTGCCTTTTTTAGTTTACTCAGACCTTGAAACTGAATTTTTAGTTATAGCGGCGGCCAGGAATATATATAAAGGATATTTTTTTACCTACAGTAATGTTGCACTCCTACTCTATACAGCGTAAGGTCACCTTTCCTACCCTTCCTCCCCTATTTAAAACCAGAGAAATATGCTGGAATTGTACCTCCATCTCCGACAAAGGAAAACATTGAATAGTAAAACGTTATAGTCAGTGACTACTCAGATCCTATATCTCTGAATAATTATGCAATCCTTCTATTTAAACAACTGGGATTTATTTCAGAAGTAACATCCGAATGTTTAGAGTGATCCGATTACATCCTCTAATCCCAAATCCAAAGAGAATACTAATAGAATATATATTAAAGTGGAGTTTACTAGAAAAAAGTGTAAAACGGCCATTTTGTTGTACTGTTTCCATACTGAATGTGTACTTCACATATTTATGCTATATAACCTTTTGGGCCCTGGAATATCATTTTATAGAAAATCTAAAATTAATATTAAAGGAAAACCAAACTATGAAATAGGCTGGTTTCATAATTGACCAATGATTATTTCACTTAGACTCTATGCGATGCCTTTCACTTTACAAACGATGATTTTCCATTATAACTCTAAATCAAATGATGTTTTCTATTCACCTAATTCATTATAAAGTTTATTTAACAGCTTTAAAAATTTCGAAATTGAAATGAATAGTCTAGGGAACATACTGTATTAATGTACTCTACTGCACATAATTTGTAAAAATTTACATGATTTGTACACTTTGAACTCCCTTTCAGGCTGAAAGGGACTGAAAATATTCATACCGAGAGATTCTTTAAATTCCTCACTAATATATATTCTATTCTTTATGCCCAAATCACTCCAATCCAGACACAAACAAAGTTAGTAAGTTACCCAATTAAACATTAAAAATTATTTTATACCTATATTTATTTTACTAAAACTGTTTTTTGCAACTTTGTGTCCGAGTTAATACGAGCCTCAGAACCTGATCTTCGATGCCTCGCTTTGTTTCAACTTAAGTAATTAATACCTGAAACGTTTAATTCAGAAGACGACTTTTAGACTCAAGTTATAACTTTAAGTATAGTCCATGATAAATATGAAAGACAGAAATTGTACAGTGTGCACGGACACATTTTACTTGAAAAACTAATTTGGATGTTACTTGTGCAAAAAAGGGAGTGACTGGTTATGTAAGGTAGTTGAACTGAGTATGCAGTGTTGTGGAAAACTTCTTTCAGATTCATTTGAGACATATTAAACTTTTTAAAGATCTGTAAATCCTGAGTTTGAGCGCAAATTCGACGTTCAAAACTCCTACTTTATTTGAACTTCTTTTATACTCTTTTTAAAAACCCCATTGTTGTAATCGAGATAATTTTTTTCATAACTTTTCATCTCTCCTTTGTTCACGAACTCCACTGAAACAAATCATTTGAAGATACCTTTATTCCTGATTTAATCGTAAAATTTTAAAATCTACAGAAATGTTTTTGAAGATGGTACATACATATACTGCATAGAGGATTAAACAAATATTATTCTATAGAATTAATGTAAAGAGAGAAATATTAAATCAAAAAAGAGAAAATTTTCAAATTTTCAATATAATTAGTTTTTTGCTGGTTTATAGGCTGGAACTGGTGAGGGGTTTTCTTGCTTGCCATCTGCTCCAATTTGGAATCCACGCTGAACTTTGAACCTGAAATATATGAAACATAAAATATTAATTATGAAAGGAAAAAGAGGGGAGGGGGAGAAATAATACTGACTTGTAATGAAGAGCTGGATATGGTTCCTGACAGCAAGGATAAAAATCACTGTTCAAGGATTCCTCCTGGAACGAGTTCTCTGTGAAGAAAACTGGGGAAATGCCCTCTTCCACAGATTCATTGGTGATGTAGTTCTTATCCTCGCACTATAAAAAGAACATAACCATTACAATGTTGTTTTTGTTGCTTGTATCTATATATACAGACGCAATCTCTTTTATGTCTGTCTGTTTGGTTGTATGTCCAAGCATAACTCATGAACACCTCGAATGATTTGCCTCAAATTGTAATGTTCTTAGTATGGTTTCTAAGTTTTAAGTAATGTAGGTTAAATTTTACAGGAAAAACTTGGTTTCTAGGCAAAGCTGGGGTCCTTTAATATTTGATAAGAGGTTTCGAACTTTATAAAAATCGATGATGATACAATGATAGTTGTAGCTATGATTGAAGTAAAAAATTTTGTGTGAAATGGCGCTAATTTACAATTCTTGATCTCGATATTCAGAGTGACATCTTTTGATAGATAAATAATTGATCTCTATAATTTAGCTATCCCTGCTGTGTACGATTATCAAGGCTGATACCCAAGAGATATAAAACTAAACCGTAATCAGTGCTTGTTTGCTACACAATTTGGAAATCAGTGCTTGTTTGCTACACAAGTTGGAAATCAGTGCTTGTTTGCTACACAAGTTGTAAATCAGTGCTTGTTTGCTACACAAGTTGGAAATCAGTGCTTGTTTGCTACACAAGTTGGAAATCGGTGCTTGTTTGCTACACAAGTTGGAAATCAGTGCTTGTTTGCTACACAAGTTGGAAATCAGTGCTTGTTCGGCCTGAGATTCCCAGCACTAAAGTTCTAACCTCTATACTAAAATAAATTGGATGGAAATAAAAATATCACTGATCAAATATCCTTTAACATCATTAAATTTGCATGAACACTTTCATTAATTCTTGCCTTTTGTAGATTAATCATATATCCGCTGTAAGTCCAAGATCCAAGCTTGATGGAGCAATCATATTCTCCCCACGGCCAGTCAGCAAACTCCTACGGTAGCGATTATATCAACATATGAAGACGACTTTCGATTTAAATTTTAATTTAGATCAAGCTTTTAAACAACATTGATACACAAAAATAAAACTTAAATAAAAAAGTTGGGTTTATTATATTGATATAACAAACATGATGTAATCAAACAGATTAATGTATTTGTAATCTATGCTTTCATCCAGATTCTCAGTATTCTCAATCATTACTTTGCCGAATAAACATATTTTTTTTACAGCTATAATAGTCTTAAAAGAAGAGATGATAAAAGGTCGTCTTTAAAGTCCTAAAATCCACAACAATCTAACATCTGCCGATTTTCTCTAAAATTTTCAAAAGGTTCTGATTATTATCAATGTTAATTTGTTAAGAATTTTTGAGAACATCTTAGCACAATTAATCAATTAAGCAAATTGAGTAAAATATTTACGCAATTTGCGTATTTGGTTGTTCTTCAGAATTTACGCAAAATTGCAGTGCAAATAGACATCTCTACCGACATTTTTGAGCAAGTTACCTTATCATTACATGGAACAGTCAGCTTGGCAGCAGGAACAAAGATGACCAAACCATTAGACATAACAACAGTGTTGGTGCTTCTGGACTTCAGAACATCATTGATATATTCTAGAAAAGGAAATTATATTCAAAATCTATGTTAAGGCGAGTTAGACTCGAGTGTCAGTTTGCTGGGTATGCGCTATGATCTCATTTCCAATTAATTCTTTAAAAGGGGGGGGGGGGGGGGA